GTAGGGACACTGAATTTCATCAAAGGGTGTCAAATTTGCCATGGAGCTGGCAGGAGAGGGGGGAGGCATCTGGACCAGGTACAAACACTTGAGAAAAAAACAAAGCCTTTGCAAGGGAACGTGACTCTTCACTAAAGTGCCACTTTCAAGAATGTTGAGGGAAAAAATAGGTTGTATAGCTAAGATGCAGCCAGTTGATACAGAGACCCCATTGGGGACAATGGGGAGATTATAAAACTATGGGGTTTGGGCCGGGCGCGGTGGCTCACGCCTGTAATCCTAGCACTCTGGGAGGCCAAGGCGGGCGGATTGTTTGAGCTCAGGAGTTCGAAACCAGCCTGAGCAAGAGCGAGACCCCGTCTCTACTAAAAATAGAAAGAAATTAATTGGACAGCTAAAAATATATAGAAAATATTAGCTGGGCATGGTGGCGCATGCCTGTAGTCCCAGCTACTCGGGAGGCTGAAGCAGGAGGATCGCTTGAGCCCAGGAGTTTGAGGTTGCTGTGAGCTAGGATGACGCCACGGCACTCTAGCCCGGGCAACACAGTGAGACTCTGTCTCAAAAAAAAAAAAAAATGAAACTATGGGGTTTGAGGAGCAGGCCTTCCTCCACCTCTTCCAAATAAAATTAAAAGGACAAAAGGATCCAAGCAATCAGCAGCCACATAATTGTGAATCTGTTGAACACTGGGGTGCACAATTCATGCCGGAGGCAGTTAACATCCACTTCCCCAAGACAAGCCATGGAGTTCTTACTAAGCTTTAAAAACTGCCATTTCTACTTTGGGAAATCAACTTTTGCTACAGAACATGCTTCTGGTTTTCACCCAAGTTCCCTATCTACAGAAGGAAGACTTTAACACCAGCTTGTGAAACTGAGGTAGGTGAAAAATTAACTCAAGCAGCAGTTTTGTTTTTTTTTTTTTTTAGCTTCAGGAGCAGCAGTTTTTCACAGAGTACTTTTGTTACTTAAAGAATGTGTTCCCAGACTTATTTCCAAATTCACAGCCTAGGAGCACTGCTATAGGGTCTTTAACTAAATTTCCAATTGGCCTGTTAAAAACACCTACTCGTAATGTAACTTTCTTTAGAGCTTTGTTTTTGTCCTGCAAAGACAGGATGTGATCTTTTGAAATGTGCCACATGATTAAGCAGTTAACATAAATCCTCCTAACTAAATCTAGCAGCAACAAATGCAGTCTTCAAGATACTAAACCAAGCTGGACGTTTTCTATTTTCCATAATAGCTTTCGCATCCCATGGAATGCACATATCTGTCAATAATGGTCTGCAGGAATTTTGCTTTTAAATATTGCCAAAATTAAGCTTAATAAATTGAGTGTTAATACTAAGAACTTTCCCACTGAAGTACAATTTCCACTCCTGTTCAAAAATACAACAGAACTTTGAGAGCAGAATAATTACTTTTTTGAGAATTAAGGCTTTTTAACAAGATTTTTGAGGTATTAGTGCTTTAAAGAAAAAAGGCTATGCAAGTTCCAAAATTAAGTTTTCTGAAATCTATTTTGACCAATGACTTCAGAGCTTAAATGCTACGTATTTTGAGACTGAACCTTTATTTTTTGAAAAACAGGTACTTCATACAATCTTTGCCATGTTAATGCAAATATGCACAAAGTAGGCATGTATTTTTGTTTTCCAAAAGATGCATTATGAACATTTTCAGGAAGCTGGTGTGATTTATTCAACTTTTAATCTTAAATACAATCACAAAATTATATCCATCAGGAGGCATTACAACCTTTTGTACAGAGAAGCCATTATTTATACAATGTTACTAGGACAAGGAAGAGTCAGTTCAACGCAACTTGCTCTTACAGTAAGGGTAAAAAGTAAATGAACAAGTAAGTGAAGTATGATGTCATTGCCACTGACATTACAGCTGGAAATATAAGGGAAATTTAAACCAGAAAAATAACTGGCACAATAACTTTAAAGAGGAGCTGAAACTTCGACTGTTAGGAAAAGAAAAGACAAACTATATTTTATCAGCCTGTTTTGAAAGAAAAACATTCTAAAAGTCTGCCTTTCAGAATAACATGCAACTTTTAAGTTTACCATCTTTAAAAATCGAGCTAATTATATGGCATTTTTATATTAACACAACAAACAGCTTTTTCCTAGTAAGCCCAGCCAAATTCCCACGGAAAGCAAGGGACCCTAAGTGGTTCATGTTCTACAATCCTTGAAACCTATAAAGCTTCTCTCAATCAGCGTCAGTTTGGCCTTCTGTTAACTAAGGTTGGTGATATTGTTATCCAGGCCTAAAAAGCAGGAAAACTACAACAAACCCTTAGGGTTTCACAATACAATGAATTTCCCCCTCCCCAACATTTGGAAAAATTTGGGATACTTGCTAGCTTTTTCCCCATAGGAGGAATCTTTCTAATACTACTCAAATATTGAAAACAAAATCTATCACCTTTAAGAAACCCTTGCCTTAATAATAATTCTACCTCCTTGATTTAAGGGGGGGAAAGTCCTAGTTCTAAATTACTGGCATTTTACAAGCTCAACAAGATATAAAATGGAACATTGGTTTTCACATTCATCTAATTTTATGTAAAACAGAGATGCTTAAATGTGCTAATAGTAAAGTATTCATTGATATTTGATGTATATGAATATGACTAACAGGCTAATTGTAGGTGCTTTCTTTAATATGAAAAGAATTGGGAGAAAAGAAGAACCAGCTCCTTTGATTTTAGTAGTGCCAAAACAAGCCCCCCAGAGTAATTACAAAAATGTGGAGGAAAATAGGCCAGGAAGACTTTTCAATTCAAAGTACTGCCTATAATACCCCAGATTAAAAAGGACCTAAGATTGCACATCAACTCTAATATTTGGCTGTACTTGCATTGCCCTGTTCGGCATTTTTTAAATGGCTCTTTCCTTAAGTTTCACACATCAGAACAACCACAATTTAAGAACAAAACAAAAAACAATGCAGATAACACCAAACATTGGACAATATTAAGAAAACCACTTACTAAGTTTAGGTAATAGAGGCAAATGTTGAGAGCAGAAGTGATGGAAGTTTTTCTTTGTATTACAAACCCTCACCCTGAACCTGGGGTTTGGGCTCTAAAAAAATAATTTCCAGACACAGATCAAGAGCCTGATTAGCAGTTCCCACACAGAAATCTCACATATCTCAAGAACAACTCACCACAAGTGTCGGACACAAAAGAATCTTAATGATCACCTAGCAAACTATGTTAAGAACTCATGACCAAAATTAATGAGAAACTTCAAGACACATCAAAGAAACAGTAGAAGTTAGAATTAGCTCCATAAACTACTAAGCCTCCACAGCTTTGCAGAGAAATCAACTAAAAATTAGGCAATTCTAACAAATTAAAGAAAACAAAACACTTAAAATTAACTTCAATTTCCAAGAGTACTTTGAATGGAAGAGGTTGTTTGCAGGTTACTCTGTACCCCTTGAATCTTAGAAGAGACAGAGAGAGAGAGGAGAGGGAGGGTGAGAGAGAAATAGGAGAGGATCCCTGGTTTTCCACAGGTATTCTATGTCATCAAAAATGTATGACTTCTTAACTACAGCCCTCTTAACGTCACATTATTTTAGAAAATAATCCCTAAAATATAGCCCAGTCTTCTCAATCTAACTGATGAGGTCTCTTAAAAATGTTCAAAACGGCTGCTTACACGGTAACTCCCCAAAGGAAGCCAACAGTACAAACCAGGATCTTGTCCACAGTGCAGTAAAGAGCAAGCTTTTGAAGCCATCCATGTCTGCCTCACAACCAAACACCCATTCTGTATGCCACATTATCCTCTGAGGGAGCATTTTAAAGTAAAAGTGACGGATAATTTACCAGAGGCACATATTTCTGAAATAAAGCTGTTTTGTTTATGCTTAGATAAGGTGCCAGGTACCTCTGACGCCTGAAAACACAAGCAATAAAATTCACCCATTTCATTTATCTTCTTTACCAAAGAGGAGGCAATTTCTGAATCCTATCAATTGTGACGAACTCATGTGAACTGGTTTTATCATTGTGATAAAAGTTTTCCCTTGTGACAACAATAAAGAATGCTGTGAAAAGACTTTAACCTTGAGAGAGCAGAGGTAATCCAGTGATGAATGTAATGGCTCCCAGAGCCTCTAGGAAATAAAGCAGTGTGCAAAATACAATATGGCATTATTATTCCAGCTAGGTTGTTTTGATTGTGAAAATAAGGTTCAGAATGAATGGAGAAAATAAACTTTGATGTGCTAGGTTCCTTAATTTACTGTTGGACACATAGGTATTCAAAAATACCACCTTTCTTACAATACTTGTTGAAGTATTAAGAAAGCATTGATACTCAAATGCATTCTCTCACAGGTACTTAAAGATTATAGATTAATGTGGCAATCAGAATACAGAAAAGGCCCAGAGCTATGTGGAATTTTTCCTTAATACCTTTCAAGTTTGTCTGTAAAGACTGGCAACTAGAAAGTGACCACTATCCTAATCTCTAAAATGCAGGGAAAATGTACTCAAACAATTAAGATTTTAACTGTGTTCTATTTTGAGCTGATACTTGATTTTAAGAATCCTATCTAGTCTGGATTTTTATTTTGGATCAACAATTTAGCTTACACAGTCAGTACTGAAATTGCGATGCTAAATGTAAGGAAACCTTGATCATGAATTCACTATAATGTATTACTGAACAGCAAGCTATTAAAATTGTGCAAAAACTAGAGCACTTCACAGACTATTTTAATAACTGAACTTAATAAAAGATGTTGGTGGATCTCACTGTTGTTGATGTTTCATGTACATGTCCTAAAATGCCAGGTAAACTAAAGCACTTTTAATTTACAAATTGTAAATTAAAAGTATCAAATGAGAAAACTAAATTAAAAAAACATTTCACTCTACCTCCACCAGAACATCACTTTATTGTTAATCTGTCATCAACAATGTAAAACTCTAATAGGTACTCTATCCTGGTTCTTTAAAAGGTAAAAGGTTACATTAGATTACCTACTTTCCATGAAAGAAACTACAGCAATCACAGAAGAGGGAAAATTTGAATGACCTCCCAAAAAAATGCACACTATAAGCAAAGGGGAGTGTACATTAAATCAAATGTCTGTTGGATTCATTACTTTTGAATGCACAGTGACAATTCTGGAAACTGTACATGATAGAATCACAGAAATGACTTAAATAACCAGAATTACATTTGTATGTGATCACCAGACCTTTAAACAATCCTTGAATTTTCCATGTTATCAGTGGTTTTGGAGAAATTTCTTTTTATCACTCCAAATGTAAGTTGTTAACAGCATCGAGACGGAAGCATATGAAATATAAGGATTGAAATAAAAGTGAATTTGAAATATGGCTAATCTACTGGATTAGGTAAAAGGGGAATGGGTAAGTGGTGGGGAGGAGGCAGGAACGACGGGGTGGTTTTTTTCCCTTCATTTCAGAAGTTCTTCCAATGTAGTGTATCTGTTACATAGCTCTCCATTTTCAGTCCATTTCTGAAATTCATATCGCATAGCCTTTTTGTACTTACTGGTCAACCCAACCAGTACTGTTGCCAAGCAACAAGTGTTACACGAGAATCTGAATGCATCAAATCTTCCTTGGCTGTGATTTCTTCGCGGCCCCAGTTTTCCCTGTTTCTGAGCGGGATTTGTTTTTTCCTGGATTGTACACACAGGGTCAGGTGGAATGGAGTTCCAAATCACTCTGTGCTCCGCAGCAGCCCGATTTCTTTCTGCAGCTAACCTCCTGACACGTGTGCTGCTGTTCTGTGGCAGAAAGACAATCTCCGTGTTCAGGCGGTGAGCTTTCTTTCTTTCACCCTTGACCCTAGGGTTGCAGGCCACGGTGTTGGGCGTATCCCTGAGTGCAGCTGTCCTGCAGGATTCACTTCCTAGTGCACCGAGATTTCCTAGGTTTCCTCAGAGTAAGCCCCCAGTCGCATCACCACCGACTGTGGTGTGGCTTTGGATGCCTGAGGCTGAGTTGATTCTGGTGGATGTCTGACCTCGTTTAACCAGACTCATCTACTGTCTTGCCATTCATACCCAGGCTGTCCAACCTTCATACAGCTGAGCCAAGTTATCTAGATTAGTTGCTTCCTTAATGACATAGTCAACCTGTAAAAACAAGCAAGATAGTATTTAAAGAAGCCATTTAAAACTTTTAAGGGCATGGGCCATATGAGTTATATTAAGTGTTTAAGAGTAAGTTTCTAATCACCCAAATTAATTACCCAAAGGATGGATAGTTGATATGGTGGAAAGAGTTAAGTAAGCTGGGCTTCTCCCATAACCCCACGGTTTATGAGAGGTGTCTTGGGAAAGTTACAACCCCTTTGAGCCTTTATGGCTCCTTAGATGAATGAAGAAAGAGCCCTACAGATCCCACATGTGCTCTTAGAGCTAAACACATGACATCACAGGATAAATGCTTACGTGGTGTATAAACAAGGGCCTCGCACAATGGGTGCTTAACAAATGTCCACTGATTCTGACTCAACTAAATTTTCTTTTATAGCAAAACATATGATCAATTCTGTATCCAGAGCATCCGTCAGGGTCCAATTATACGGTAAATGTTCAACATATGTCTGCTGAATTATAATCTGTGCCAAAAGTTATGTGCAAAGGACTCCACACTTACCCTCCTCTTGTGAGCCCATTAATTTTCATATTAAATTTAATAACTATCAGAATAAAAAGCACAATAGCTAAGTAGCCTTTACAAAGATAGAGAGCTAAGATAGTTAGAAAGATATAAAAAGCACATAATTCATTAACCTACCAGAAAGTTTCTGAAGACATCTCTGACTCAGAACATCTTTCACATTTTTTGACAAACTCGACAAAACTGTTTCTAAAAAAGAATTTTTTAAAACCTCTTGCCCAAAAAGAGTTTAAGTCCAGGTCCTATACAACAATGTAATAGTGTTTAAAAGGAAAACAAAATTCCTTGCTGATGTTAAAACTGAATTGTGGGTCAGACACAGTGGCTCACGCCTGTAATGCCAGCACTTTCGGAGGCTGTGGCGGGGAGACTGCTTGAGGCCAGGAGTTCAAGACCAGCCTGGACAAATAGGGAGACCAGGTCTCTATAAAAAAATTAGCTGGGTGTGGTGGCTCACACCTATAGTCCCAGCTACTCAGACTAGGGCAGGAAGATTGCTTGAACCCAGGGGTTTGAGGTTGCAGTGAGCTATGATGACACCACTATACGCTAGCCCAGTCAGCAAAGAGAGACCCTGTCTCAAAAAAAAAAATAAAATAAATTTGAATTGTGGATGCCAAAGCATTGACAGGATATTCACAGTCTCAAAGTTTTACTCCACAGGAGAAAAAAAGTATATTTGTAATGGCAAAATCAGGAGAATACCATCCTTGACCAAATGATCTAACTTAACATCAAAGATGGCACAAACTGACATGCGTCCCTTGATGTAAAATACTGAAAAAGAAACATCACTGATGTAGTATTCCTGCCAAAAAATGTTAACTCTGAAATGAATTGTAAGGAAAATATCAGACAAATACAAACTGAGGCACATTCTGCAAACCAACTGGTTTGGACACATCAAAAATGTCAAGGGAAGGGGGAACGAAAATGTTAACAACTGGTGAGTCTAGGTAAAAAGTATGTGGGCATTCCTATAACTTTTCTGAAGGTTTAACATTTTTTTTCAATAAATAGCTAGGGAGGAAAAATTCTCAAATTTCATCATATTCAATATTAACAAAACTAACGAAAAAATTTCAGAATAATGACTGCAGCCAAATGCCCACTGATACCCAAGGATGCTTTACAGATACAGATTGCGTATCCCTTATCCAAAATACTTGGGACCAGAAGTGTTTCGGATTTGGGATTCTGATTAAAAGAGAGCTGGGGAATGGGAAGCAAAGTGCCAATAGGTAAGGGTTAGAGTAAAATGGTGACTACTTGACAACTCCAGAGCTGTGCTATTCAAAATCTTCTGAATCCTGAAAATAGATTTAAGTTCCTTATTCCTTGATGAACCACCAAGGAAATGGGTGACAGGCATCTTTAAACCTATACTTTTCCAGCAGCATTAAAATGTGTAAGTTTCAAAATGTCAAGTTTCAAAAATGGTCACCTGTTCAGCAACTGACATCCTCCTATTCGGATCAACATCTCGGCCCTCTAACTTGGCTTTCACTCTCTTCCACACACTCACTGCATATGAGTTTCTCTCTTGCACAGCTATGAAGCAATAAAAACACATGTAAGTCAAACTACCATTTTATATACAAATTTAAGGTATCTTTATTCTAAGTACCTTTCCCAGTTTTAGGGTCTCTGACAGCCTTTTTAGGACTACAAGCAACACTCTTGCCAGTTCCTGGAATGGTGCTTGGTGGAGTATCTGCTGATGTAGCAAGATTTTTCTGAATCAGCTTTCTAGCATTCTGTGACATAACATCAGGCTGAGTCTTCTGGCCAGTGTTGCTCCGTACTGCTATAGAGAAAGAGTTGTTGGTTCAATTTACAGGTAAACAGAAAGCAGAGTGGGGTAAGCAGACAGCAGGAGATAGGTGGTGGTGGTAAATACCCCATATTAAATAATCAATTACAAATCCTTATCCTTTGACACAGCAATTGTCTTCCTAAAAATATAGCCTAAACAATCAGACATTCAGATACAAATTTGTATAATGATGTTCACTACCTTGTGGCATCAAAAAAAAAATATGTCTTAATTGTCCAACAATGGAAGGCTAATATGATACGGCAATAGAACTGCATATTAAATTTGGCCATTAAGTCACTTTTTAAAAGATTATTTAATGACAGGTAAACTGTTAATTTAATATTAAGTGGGAAAAGGCCACAAAAATTGTCTCCACAGGGTGGTCCCAATGTGTCTGTGTATGTGTATCCATGCACACAGAGAAGTAAATCAACAAATACACAGTGGTTTTTACCTCTATTTGGGGTGGAACTACAAATTTTCTAAATTTCTCTAATAGACATGTATTTTAAAATCATAAATTTTTAGAACAGTATACAAGGCATTTTTACTCTCCCACACGAATATTTTTTAAAAATAAGCTAAAATCTGTTCAGTTTGAGATTCTAGTATGACAGGGTTTAAGTGTTTAACATTAAACACTTATATATACTTAAACATCTTAGCATCTATGCGTAGATTTATTAAAAGATCAAGACTCAGCTTCTTCTCATACCTGCAGCAAAGGACGGCTGATAAGTAGCAGATGACGTTGGACTCGAACATTCATTTGTTGCATCAGTGACTAAGGGTGATGCAAAACTCACTAAATTATTATAGATACTGAAATATAAAACAAAATGGCTTATTTATGAAATGCCTTACCAGATAACAACTTATAAAACTATGAACAAAACTGAAAAATTTTAAATCCAGAAAGACAAACTTATTATACCAGATGTTTTGTTTATATTTTGTAAATTTTGGCCAGAAGCCTATCTTACCTCTGACTTTGTGTTTTCAGTTCTTTCAAGGTGGGAGTGATTTCCTGGAGCATTTCAACATGTTCTTGACTTCGAACCTGACCCATAGCCTGGACTAATGTAAACAGAACTGTCTGAATGTTGTCTTGCCATGATTTATATTCACCCAAAAACTGCCTAACACTGTTCTCATAGGGAATATCTTCACCATCTGCCAGAGCAGCTTCTTCATCCTAGAATCAATATATTAATAATTAAGAAAAATGGTTTTTGTGTCAGCAATTACCAATTACACTCCAGTTACCTGCTGATTAAGAGGTGATATATGTTCCAAATATCACTGTGTTTAATCTACTTATTACAGTTCAACTTCTTTTCTACATGAACTTTGTTTCCACCACCAAATAAAAACTCAAAGTAGGCTGGGTGTGGTAGCTCACACCTGTAATCCCAGCACTGTGAGAGGCCGAGGCAGGCCAAGCATTTATGACCAGACTGGGCAAGATAGTGAGACCCCATCTCTACAAAAAATTCAAAAATTAGCTGGGTATGGTAGCATGCACCTATAGTTCCAGCTACTTGGGAGGCTGAGGTGGGAGGACTGCTGGAGCCCAGGAGTTTGAGGCTATAATGAGTTATGATCACGCCACTGCACTCTAGCCTGGGCAACAGAACAAGACCCTGTCTCAAAAAAACAAAAAACAAAACAAATCCAAAAATACCTCAAGTAAAAATAAATCCTAAAATTAAATTATTTGCCGTTGTGTAATGATGAAGCAAATTAGCCTTCTCTAGAGGCACAGTTTCCTTACTAACTAGATTATGTAAGATACTGGATGGAAGAGACAGTATTTCATTCATTTTGGAGGCAAACTATATGGGTTTGGAGGTACAGGTGGGGAGGAGAAAGGTTGGAGGTTGGAGATTTAAACATTCAGACTAGATTCAAATCTCAGTTCTATTACAAGTTATATGACATTGAGTGAATTAATTTCTTTAAGCCTCAATTTCTTTGTGTATGAAATTCAAACTACTACCTGCTTAAAAACATAATTGATGAAAACAAACTAACTCAGTTACAAATCAGAAGATGTGACGAGAAATTGTTTTTGTTTATAAAATGTTACTGTTTTTCCATAAATAAGACTACTTGTTATTTTATAAAAGAGGGGGAGTAAATATATGTCAATAGTATTAGTCTTACCTTGGCCATTGCTTTTAGGAGATGTTTGACATCTCCAAGCTGTCGGTTATGACCAGTCAGCACAGTCTTTATATTATCAACCAGATTCTGAATTGTTTCACAGACAGTTTCAATCTGTTGCTCTTTCTCTGTCTGAATTGCCCTCTGAGTAGACATATCCTGGGTCAACTGTTTGTGTGCTGACAAAAGCCATTCAGAGCTACCAATAGGATGTTCAAGACCAGTGTCCTAAACAGAACAAAGATTTGTGTGATTTTTAAGCATCAGCTGAAGTAATATGAGTCCTTTCTTAATTATCGTTATTAAAAGATATCAGTGACTCAAACTGAGATAAAGAGAACCTCAGTGGCTGAGTCATGAATTACCTACCTAATAAAATAATACTAAATAATTTCAAAAATCTATGAAATACAGATTAAGATTTTCAACTCTTCTGTACAGTTATATAGGATATAATGCTTAAAGTTTAAGACTCAAGAAATATATCTGGCATGACGAAGATGACTGGCATCCAGGTCCCCAAACTCACTCCAAATAACTCTAAGAAATGAAACCAAAGCTAACACACAGCTTAAAGCCTTCCCACAAAATATAAAGGCCATACTTATCCACTTGCTATTTCTGAACTTCACTGACCTTTCCAGCATTCATTCATCTTCTACTAGAGCTCTTTCTACTACTCTGTCTTCAGTGCATCTGAATCATTTGCTATATGATTGCTATAGTCATCTTTCTCCTCCTCCCTTCTGAACTTCTATAGTACTTTGGTTGTGACTCCCACAATCCTTTTCACTGTTTCATTTGTTGTATTATTAAATAAATAAGTTCCTTGAAGGCTAAGAGCAAGATTTAATCACTACTGTGCCCCTCATAACAACCTCTTACATACAGTGCATGCCCAATAAATGTAAACTGAGTGAATACATTAAACTGATTTTGACAGTATAACATTGGCCTTATTTTAATCACAGTCTCTCCACTCCCACCACAACTCAAGACTCACCACTCTCTGTAATAAACGAAGCTCTAACTCAGACACTGAGCTGTTAAACTGTGATGCAAATGAACACATTTGCTGACATCGTTTGATTAGCTCAAATAATGCAGCATCCAGGTTTAAGGCTTCTGCAGTTCTTGTTCGTAAACTTTCAAAATGAATGATATTGCTGCACAGAAAAGTGACCTGTGAAGAGAGAAACAGAACCAGCACAATGAGGGGAGAAAAGCAATTAATGACATGAAAAAATACTGCATTCTCACTTCCAGAACTGAGGACCAGAATTGGCCCTGAAAATGTATGACTCTTTTGGGAAATAAACCAAATCCTCATAAAGGCTATTAGAAGTAAACGTACATTTTAATTTATGCTGATACTTTTAGATCTCAATTGGCCAAAAGCGCCTAAGAACAATTAGGTAAATGTATCTTCTACGTGACTGTTTTTACATAAAAATTTACTCCATAATAAAACAGTTGTCAATATTCAGCTGCAATTTGTTACATCCAAATTTCAGAGAACATTTCTGCCAGAATATTCCCCTTCTGCTTCTATTCCTAACTAACTTTATAAGACCAGAAAATACTAACTGGACATTTGCCAATATTAAGCACATTTTTTAAAGGTATAATTAATAATATTGTGATTATGTTCTTAAATAGTTCGTATCCTAATAGGCACACGCTGAAATATTTACATATAAAATATTTGGGATTCCTGTTAAGTATGGGATGGAAAGAAGGAATAGGGAGTATGGATGAAATAATAAAGGACTTAAGTTGATAATTACCGAATTTTAGTGATGGGTATGAAGAGGGATGGGTATCATTTTAGTAGTCTAATTTTATACCTGATTGAAAATTTCCATAATAGTTTTTTTGGTCCCCTCCCCCCATCACAACAAAGTTAATCCACAACCTCTAGTAGAGCACAAGGTCATAAAACGTTTTATTGTCATGCGGGAAGAAAGTTATTCAAGAGGCAGTCAGGCCCACCAAACTAAACGGCTGTGAGCCCGGCCTAAGGGATGCCCTGAAAATCTTTCCAGATGCTCCTCCTGGGCTGTTAACTAGAGCATGGGCCCTTAAGCTCCCCTAGTTATCCCTCACATAACTTTCTGTAAGATATATGATCCTGTAACTGAATACAAAGACGGTACACCTGAGTCACAATACCTGACTTGCTCTTTGGCTCTCTTTAAGGACAAGATTTCTTCTTTCAGCTATTGTTGCTTCAAAATCTTGTAGTACCGGTGCCAATGCAGGGTTAGCACCACCTGCCCACTTGAGTCGCTGCTCAATGCTTGCTTCAAGGGCTGCTAGTTTCTCCTATAAAAGCCAGCAGAATCTTGGTGAATGTTTGTGACATTCTTCACTTCCTATGTGTCAAGTATTTTATATAATACAAGAGATGCAAAAGAAGTGGGGTGAGTATACATAATTTAGAAAACAACTTTAACAGTCACCTTTTGGAATTAACCTTAAGTTCACTTTGAATATTTCCTTCAGGTCAAACACATCTGAGGAGGTAAGAACTGGCTTTCAGCTT